GATTGCGTGTGCGCAGATACATGGTGATTTGCAATCTTTGGCCTGTTCTTGAATTGTTCGCGTCGGGGTCCGCAGTGGAACTGTGGGTGCAAGCTGTTGTCGCTGCGATTGCGTGTGCGCAGATACATGGTGATTTGCAATCTTGTTTCGCGGCCGCAATGTCTCTGTGTCGCGGCCGCACTGTATCTGTGGGTTCAAGGTGCTGTCACTGCGATTCTGTGTGCGCAGTGACATGGTGATTTGCAATCTCTGTGTCGCGGCCGCACTGTCTCTGTGGGTTCAAGGTGCTTTCGCTGTAAACACTCTCCTGTGTAAAAGCTCCTGTGTGTAAACGCTCTTCTGTGTGGAATCTCCTGTGTGTAAACGCTCTTCTGTGTAAAGGTTTCTGTGTGTAAAAGGCTCCTGTGTGTAAACGCTTTTCTGTGTAAAAGTTCCCGTGTGTAAAAGCTCCCGTGTGTAAACGCTCCTCTGTGTAAAAGTTCCTGTGTGTAAACGCTCTTCTGTGTAAAAGCTTCTGTGTGCAAACGCTTCTCTGTGTAAAAGTTCCTGTGTGTAAACTCTCTTCTGTGTACAGGCTCCTGTGTGTAAAAGCTCCTGTGTGTAAACGCACTTCTGTGTAAAAGCTTCCGTGTGTGTAAACGCTCTCCTGTGTAGAAGTTCCTGTGTGTAAAAGCTCCTGTGTGTAAACGCTGTTCTGTGTAGAAGTTCCTGTGTGTAAAAGCTCTCCTGTGTAAAAGTTCCTGTGTGTAAACGCTCTTCTGTGTAAAAGCTCTTGTGTGTAAACGCGCTTCTGTGTAAAAGCTTCCGTGTGTAAACGCTCTCCTGTGTAAAAGTTGCTGTGCGTAAACGCTCTTCTGTGTAAAAGCTCCTGTGTGCAAACGCTCCTCTGTGTTAAAGCTCCTGTGTGTAAACGCTCTTCCGTGTAAAAGTTCCTGTGTGTAAAAGCTCTCCTGTGTAAAAGCTTTCCTGTGTAAAAGTTCCTGTGTGTAAACGCTCTTCTGTGTACAGGCTCCTGTGTGTAAAAGCTTTTGTGTGTAAACGCACTTCCGTGTTAAAGGTTCCGTGTGTAAACGCTCTCCTGTGTAGAAGTTTCTGTGTGTAAAAGCTCTTCTGTGTAAAAGCTCCTGTGTGTAAACGCTCTTCTGTGTAAAAGTTCCTGTGTCTGTTGCATGTTTGATTTCGTTTTCATGGCTTCAACGGCATTGTGACAACATGTTTTCCCCAGGTTCAGAAACGTCACTCTCGTGGTCAGTCGTGTTCGCAGCATTCCCCTGATTAAGCGGTGCGACCAACAGGATATGGCGAAGCAAGAAAGAAAAGGTTCGCGTCTCTTTCTTTTCATAGGTTCCATTCCACGCCGACGGGCCGATGTCTGTGCTTCATGTTAAATTCATCGTTAAATTCCTTCAGAATGCAGTCGGCATCTGGCACGGCATGATGCACCCGTGTTCATTCTTTGACCGCAGCCGTTTACCGTTTTGGTCAGCCGCTACACCGACCCATCGCGACATTGCTCATTTTAGCAGCACTTGCATGTGTGTTATTCAATCATTTATCGGTTTGTGTTTGCTTCATTTCAGAATGCAGTTAGCATGTGGGACGGCTTGATGCACCTGCAGACTCACAGCATCCAACTTACAACCGCAAACTTGGCACGCCGGTTGTGACCGCAAGTTGTGCGAAACAACCGGCTGTCTGGTAGTTTTTGCCTTTGTGGGCCTTTGCGGGGCCACAGTCTGTGTGCGGACCCATGGCCGCGGATCCGAACAAATGGTTCGATTTGTGGGACACTCTGGGAATTCTTTTCAGAAGCGATGGTGCTGCTGCTGTTAAGTTGCAGTTGGTCAACGTGAAGATGTGCGATTTACAAAGTTTATGCGGAGCCGCCGGTATACCGGTGGCACACCCTGGAGGCAAGTCGAAAACGCAGAAAGAGATGATGGATGATATTTTGCGAAATTTGAGCTGTTACCGCGAGGCGGGTGTGTTGGAAAATTAAGCTTGCTTGAAGAAACTGTGTGTCTTCGTGTTTGTTCCACTGGGTGTGTTACTGTTTGTGTTTTTTTGCGGGTGAGGCTGGGTCGTCGAGCTCGTCCGGGCCGCAGAGGCTCTCGCAGCAGAGCTCGCAGCAGCCCGCTGAAGAGGAGTCGCAGCAGAGTTCGCAGCAGACCGGCGCGGAGAAGATTTTTCAGAGTGACGCTGTCCTTACAAAGGAGATTGGGAAAAGGAGCAAGGAAGAGCTGCTGGCTCTTGGTATTGAAGTCTTGCGTTCTCGCGGCCAAGATTGGATGCGAGAGCAGTTGGACAGGAGGGACAGGGATTTGGTTAAGAAGCTCGCTGGCAAGGCGGGCATTCAAGTCAAGGTGCAAGGGCGAGCGAAGCTGAGAGATGTGCTGGTTGGGGAATTGATGGAGTTGTTCGCATCAGCCACTGCCGCTTGTTGTTGCATGGTTAGTTTTTGTTCGTTGTCGAAGTGGTTTTACCGTGTTTGTCGTGGTGCTTGGGTGTGTTTATGTGTAGTTCCATATGAGGATGAAGCTGTGTTTTTCAGAAGTACGAGTTTCACCATGTTGTATACTCGTTGCTAAAATGTTGAGAGGAACATGGGCGTGTTTGTGTTTGTGCTGCGCGGGCGAGGCACAGAGTTCGGAGCAGACCGTTGAAGAGGCGATTTTTCAGAGTCGCGTCCTCCTCACAAATGAGATTGAGAAAAGGAGCAAGGACGAGGTACTGGCTCTTGGTGCGGCGGTGCTGCATGCTCGCGGCCAAGATTGGATGCGAGAGAAGTTAAGCCGCGTGACGACTGCGGAGTTGGCGCGGAAGCTGGCTGCCAGCGCGGGCATTCCTATCCGCGTGGCTGGGTCATTGAAGCCGAAAGATGCGCTGGTCGAGGAATTGATGGAGTTGTTCGCATCAGCCACTGCCGCCTGTTTTTGCATGGGGATTTTTTGTTCGTTGTTGAAGTGGTTTTACCGTGTTTGTTGTGGTGCTTGGGTGTGTTTGTGTTTTTGGTTTTGTAGCGGGTAGTTCCATATGAGGATGAAGCTGTGTTTTTCAGAAGTAGGAGTTGCACCATGTTGTAACCATTCGTTCCTAAAATGTTGACAGGAACATGCCGTGTTTGTGTTTGTGATGCGCGGGGGAGGCTGGGTCTTCGCGCTCGTCCGGGCCGCGGAAGTCGTCGCAGCAGAGTTCGCAGCAGACCGGTGCAGAGGAGTCGCAGCAGAGTGCCCAGCAGATCGGCGCAGAGGATATCTTTAAGAGTGACGTCCTCCTGGGTAGTGAGATTGGGAAAAGGAGCAAGGAAGAGATGCTGGCTCTTGGTATTGAAGTCTTGCGTTCTCGCGGCCAAGATTGGATGCGAGAGCAGTTGGACAGGAGGGACAGGGATTTGGTTAAGAAGCTCGCTTTGAAGGCGGGCATTCAAGTCAATGTGGGAAGGTATACGAAGCCGAAACCTGAGCTGGTTGAGAAATTGCTGCAGTTGTTCGCATCAGCCACTGCCGCCTGTTTTTGCATGGAGAGTTTTTTGTTCGTTGTCCAAGTGGTTTGACCGTGTATGTTAGGTGCTTGGGTGTGTTTATGTGTAGTTCCATCTGAGGATGAAGCTGTGTTTTTCAGAAGTACGAGTTTCACCATGTTGTATACTCGTTGCTAAAATGTTGAGAGGAACATGGGCGTGTTTGTTTTTGGTTTTGTAGAGGGTAGTTCCAAATGCGGGTAGTTCGTGGTGTAGAGGGTAGTTCAATGATGTTGGAAGATGCGGTTTTGTTATTGCATTGGTTTTGATGATGTTTTTGCGCGTCAAGGTCACATTGGAAGCCTGGGAAAAGCTGCGAGGTAAGGATCGGGTATTGGACAAGAACGCGCTGCAGCAGGAGTTGGACAGGCACGAACTGCAGAATCTGAAGTTGATGGCTTGCTTTGCTGGCATCGACCGAGCAGCGTTCGATCAGAAACGTTCCTGGATGAGGGACGAGTTCATTCAGCATCTGTGCGCTTTTTTGGTGTCAGAGGTAGACCCTTGTCTATTTCATGGCAGATGTTGTTTCTTTGGCAGTGAGTGCTTAGATTGCGCTCGTTCTTCTTCAGCCCTGGTTTTGTGGAAGCAAGGGGGCCTGGTTTTGTTCGCTGCCAGGTAACGCGGCTGCAAGCAGATGCGCGCGTGAACGATGAGACGTGGCTGCGCAGCAGACTGGGAGAAGTTGGCGTGTACGGCCTCCGAACCATTTGCACTGAGTTGAATGTGACAAATCGACATGGAGCAACCGACACTATTTTGCCGCTGGAACAGATAATCGAGAATCTGATACTTCACTTCCATCCTCCGGAAAGTAAAGCGCAGCAGCTGAAGCAGCAAGCCTTGCAGCAAGGCAATGTTGCTCGCTCGTGGCTTTCCGACGCGCTGCAGCGCTTGTCTTCACGTGCAGGCAAAGGTGCGGCAGAAAGTGATCTGGCGGCAGTAGCGCGAGAAGCTGGCGTGGAAAAGATACGCGGTATGAAGAGGCACGATCTGGTGCGCGCCATCGTGGACAAGCTTTTACCGCGAGAAGTGGATGCGGAGGCCGCGGTTGAGAAGCATGCCTGTCGTCTACTTTCTGCATGCATCAAGATGAAGGACAAAGGGGAGGAGGTGGATGCAGCTGCCATTGAACAACATTTGGATTCTCGCGAGCTGTTATTGAAGCTGGTTGCGTGGTTGCGGATGGAACGCTTGGAGGTGATTCAGAGCCACCACCGGAGTAAGGCGGAGTTGCTGTCGGATGTTGTCGAGAAAGTGGGTGGGCTTCTTCAGGGCTATGGTGTCGTGTTGGACGCGATCACGTCAGCAGACATAGATCTCGACCAGCTTGTTTCCCGCAATGCGTTGATTTTTCCCGCTGGTCTGCATCGCTGTCATGCGATTGCACTTTTGGCTTGCGCACTGTCTGCGCAAGATCAGAGCACTGCAGGACCTTTGTGTTTTGGGATTACGTTCGCAGAACTAGTAGATTCCGGTGTTACCGTTGGTGTGTGAGGCTGTAAGATAGGATCGTGTTTCATGACAACACTTGTCTTGTTTCTTGTGCTTGTGTCAGGATGGCGGAAGCTGCTGGATCTGTCGCCCGGAACCCACGAGCTGGATGTCGCTGAGAGGCTCTTCGATCTGCATACTGTTACTTTGCCAAAGCAATGGTCGGAGCCGATTGGCTTCGAAGATCAAGAGGACATGCTGCAGGTGTGCAGATTTCAATGACTCTGTTCATGTTTTCGTTTTCAATGTCTAGCTGATGTTTTTGAAGTGGTCCGTGTTTAGTGTCCCTGTTGTGCTCATGTTGTCTGTGGCAGGTACTTCTTGAACTCCTCCGTGGGCGCAGAAGCAGCAAGATTGTGGACGGGAAAGAGATCCGTCGCAGAGGTGCTTTGGATTCCGCCGACAAGACGCTGCTTCGAGGGATGATGCGTCGCTATGGCTGGGAGCGGGCTGAGAACGCGGCGGCACCATGTTACTGGGATGAGGTGTATCGGAAGCCAAGTTACGAGCACTTCATGTGGTTTCTGTTGCAGAAGTTGCTGCATCCGCGCGATTCCGTTGAGTTGTCCAGATTGCGAGATGTTCACGCTCCGGCTGCGATTGCAGGTGTCAGAGCTTCCAGGAACGTGGTTTCATTTCTTTTCATGGAAGAAGTTGTGTTTGCATGAGAACGTGATACGCATATGGCATTGTTTGCTAGTGTCAAGCAACGTACGGTGTTTATTGAACTATGTCTTCATGCATGATGTTTTCTTGTTTAAATATGCGGCTTGCTATTGTAGATTACACGGCGTGCTAGTTTAGACAGAGTGTAAAGAAGCTGTGGTTGTGTGAAGATATCTGATTGCATGTGGTCGACCCGCAGGATGGGGGTGCATCAGAACGTGGTGGAGATGTTTGACCAGTTGAAGGAGTGGCAGGACACGACTGGTTTGAAGGTGATGCCCTCCGAGGCCGATGACAAAGGTCTGTGTGATAAAGCGGAAAACTATCGGCAGAAGCAGGCGAAGATGCGTTCCAAAGTCATGGCGGAGAACTATCCCGTTGATTTCGAGCCTCTGCATGCGCTGTCCTTGGATTGCTTCGCATCATCTGGGAATGGCATGGTCATGTGGCGGTCGGAATTTGAAAGAGAGATGTTGTTCAGTTTGCCTGGCTGGGTGGAGGATGACCGGAAGAAGCAGACGTTTCACAATCTGCAAGAAATTCTTCGTTCGAAAGATGAAGCGGCATTGAAGCATCTGGAGACGCTGCGATCCAACGCATTAACGCTGCAACAGAAGTTGGAGAAAGTCGCCGTGGATCTACGATGTGCGCCCACTATGTCCAGTGTACAGGAGACGCTCGCGCATCGGTTCTTGCAGGTTCCTGATGAGTCGGCAGAGCCGTCGCTTGAAAAATACGTATGCCGACTGTGCGATTTCCATTGTCAGCTGAGTGCGCAGATGGAGGAGCACATCAGAGATTGCCATGCTGCTGATGGCTCTGATAGAGCCGTGGTCGAGTACCGGAAAAAGGTCATCGGCTTGTTGCAACATGCCGGACCCAAAGTGGCTCGGTTCAAGTGCGGGTCGCTTTTGTGTACGTTTGGTTGTGGTTGTCGTGCGTTCTTGGTCATTGCTATTTATCATCCGTGTTTCAGCTTGCTGGCTTTTCGTTTGCGAGGCACCTTGCTGGACCATGCAGAGGAACCTGGTGATGAACGCGGACTCGGCACTTCGTTGCCCTGGAGCTGGTGATGGGCAGAGAGAGGAAGGCGCTTGTGTTGTCTGCGCCCGCAAGTTTTGGTCGCACGAATTGTTTCCCGTCATTCTCTATCAGGATCCTACCAAGCAGCCAGAGCAGCCCTCAGCAGAGGAGGCAGAGCGAGAGGTGAAGAGAGTTGCTGCCGAACAGCAGGAAAAGCTTTGCCACCTTTTGGGCATGCGGCGGTATCTGCAGCGCTGGCCGCACTTGCGAGATCAGGCAAGAGCAGTGGAAGAGCTTCGTGCATCGGCAGTGGAGCACCCTTTTTTGCCAGGTGAGTTCCTGTTGTTGCATCGCCGTCGCATGCCTGCCGACCCCAAGGCTCCATGTGATGTCTGTCGAGAATGTCGCACATCTTTGACGGGACAATTTGTTTCGCTGCCCCGTTACAGCCTGGCGAACGACCTCTGGATGGGACGGCAGCTGCCGGAGCTGCGCAATTTGGCGGCTGGAACTAAACGGTTGTTGCCTATGATCAGACCATGTCACCAGGTCACCGTTTTGCAACCTGCCAACTTGGTGAGGGAGGAGAGGCAGCGGGGCTTCATCGGCAACAGCATCTTCTTGCCGCAGGCCACCCCGGGAACGGTCTGCAGGACGCTGCCGCCGCGGGAGGTAGACATGCAAGAGTCTATACTCTTCGTGTTGGTGGGGCACGACAGAGCGGCGCTCAAGAGCAGTGCATTATTGCAAGCACCAAGAGAGGAGTACGAGAGAGCCGTGCGATGCTTGCAGAGCACATCCTTGTATTACGCGAAGGTAGAGCTGGAGCATGGCGAGGTCGATGCCTTGCAGAGCTGCGTATTGGAGACTGAGTCCGACAGCTATCTGGCGCAGCAACTCTTGCAGCAGGGGCCTGCTGATGCGCAGGGGCAGTCGGAGGATCAGGAGATGGCAGACGCCGACAGCGCCGGTGCCACCGCGACTTGCGCGACGCCCGGTGATGCGGAGGAGCCTTCGTCTGATCGTGTGATTGTGCAGAACACAGGCCGGGACGGGTTGTTTTTGCGTTTGCTTTTGCATTTCGTTTGTTCTGTACTTGAGTCGGCTGTTTCTTTGCTAGTGGTTTAAGAGCTTTATCCATCTTACCAGATGCATGTTAAAGCAAAGCTTGTGTATTGTTAATATAGTTCTTACATATTACTATATACTTACAAAGTCTTAGCCTATCTAGCAATCTTAGCTAAGATTTAACCTAAGATGGCTAAGGTTTGGGCTAAGTGGGATAAGATCTTAGCCCACTTAGCAAACTTAGCAGATACTTAGCCTTTTCTGTTGCGTTGGCTTCTTTCCAAGTGTTCCTTGTGATTTCCTGGCAACATCATTGAGCAGCACATCAGCAGAGGTGAAAAAAGATGTTGCCATTGCACATTTTAAACAGCATTCAATGTGTTTTTCTGTTGTGCATCCAACTAATGATGTTTCCCATTTTGCATTGCTTGTACAAATCAAATTTCAAATGCATTGAGCACATAGCGCTTCCATTTGATCAATCTTTCTCTCTTTGTTGCCATGCCTTGACACAGCGCACAGTGCTTTTCAAACATTTCATGTCTGTTTGAATTGTTCTGGTTTCCAGCAGCTGTTCATTGTCTGGCCCAGAGGCTTTTTTGCCTTTTTGCCAACAAGACCTTTGCCAAGGGGAAGCTCAAGATTTAGCCCATGGGCCAAGTAGCCTTGGTGAAAGAAGTGAAAGCCAACATGGTTTGCATCCTTGGCCCAGGTGGTTCCAGGTTCCAGGTTCCAGGTATTTCTTGAAATCTTGGTTCAGCAACCAATGGTTTGTTTTTTGTGTTCAATGTTCTTGCCTATGTGGCTCAGCATCCAATTCTTTTTCAATGTTTTGCCCATGTGTTTCAGCACCCAGTGCTTAAGAACATTGCCATATTACTTGGTGTTTGAATGTCAAATTTTCCAGCAATGCTATAGCTGTTTGGGTTTCCAATGCCAAACAGCAAGACCAAAAAGGACCATGGATGAAGCCATGGACCAGGAGAGGTTGTGTGCATTCCATATTGTGTGCATTCCATGTTGCGCATTCCACATTGTATAATAAGTATAATAGCTGTTGGTCCATTCCCTTTGGAAGGAGATGGAGCCACTGGAAGAGGCAGGGTCCAAGCAGCCAGGTGGCTAGCACATGTTTCTATATGCGCCATTCCTTTAGGTGGCCACTGGCCCAGAGCCACCTGATGGGCCAGCAAAGGCTGGCCCACCAGCCTGCAACTCAATTTCCCAGCATCATATAGCATACAATGCTTTCCCAGCACCTGGTGCTTTGTACCAAAGCTTGCGTCAAATAGTTGCACCATGTTTCTTCAATCAGCACCCTGTGCTTGTCATCAGTGTTTTGGTTACATATGTTGGCAGATGTGCCTTGCCAGGTACAAAGCCAGCAAAGGGCAGCCAGATCCAAAGTGGCAGCCAAAGCTTTTCCTTACAGAGATCCAGATCCAGATGAGGTGGCTTTGATCTATTTTGAACCCAAGCTTGCATATGTTTGAACATCTATATCTATATCCATATCTACATCTACATATAGACATAGACCTAGCCATATGTAAATATTTTGAAACATAAAGCATGTCCACCCATATATGATTTTCCATGGCAGGCCATGGAAGCTGCTGTGGACATGTTGGCAGCCAAAGCAGAGGTGCATTGCATGCCTGGTGCACTTCAGCTATGGGTGTCCAAGCATGCACACATTTTTGCTAGCCAGGCCATGAGCCCCACAGAGCCATCAAGCCCAGACCAGGCACCATGCCCACCCAATCCAAGCTCAATCTCACTTGAAACTCTCCCAGATCCCTTGCCTGCAGCAGCCACATTACCAACACGAGTTTCTTACCCACAAACATTGCACCCAGACCCAAGGCTAGCACCACAAGCAGAAACACCAACTTTCATGCCAGTACCAGCTTCTTCAGAGCCACCAGCACCAAAACAAGAGGTGGCACCTTCCACAGGGACACCAGCCAAGGCAATGCCAGCACCAGAAGCAGCAACAGCCAAGGCAATGGCAGAGCCA